TGCCTTGAAAGCCTGTAGTTGCGGGCCCCTTGAAATACATGTTGTTACCACATGCCTTAAAAACGTGTTATTGTGATCCCGTTTAAAAACTCACCCTTGAAACGCATCTTGAAGAATATGCAGTTACGACCCCTCTTAAAACATACAGTTGTGTCTATATAAACATTCAGTTGCCACCCTTCTTAAAAACATGCATTTGCGATCCACCTTAAAAAACATGCTGTTTCGATCAACCTTGAAAAAGATGCAGTTGCGAACTCTCTTGAGAAACATGCAGTTGCAACCCCTCTTGAGAAATATGCAGTTGCGACCCTACCTTAAAAACACGCAGTTGCAATCTACCTTAAAAACATGTAGTTGCGGCCCTTCTTGAAAAACATGTAGTTGCGACCCCATCTTCAAAATATGCAGTTTCGACCCCTCTTGAAAACATGCAGTTACGTCCCCGTCTTAAAAACATGCAGTTGCAACCCTTTTTAGAAAACATGCAGTTGCAACCCCATCTTGAAAACATGAAGTTGCAACCCCTCTTGAAATATGGAGTTGTGACCCCATCTTAAAAACATCTAGTTGTGACCCCTTTTGAAAATATGCATTTGCAACCCATCTTAAAAAACATGCAATTTTGACCAGTCTTGAAAAAGATGCAGTTGCGACCCTCTCTTAAAAACATATAGTTGCAACCCCTCTTGAGAAACATAGAGTTACGATCCTGCCTTAAAAACATGTACTTGTAACCTACCTTGTAAACATATAGTTGCGACATCTCTTAAAAAACATATAGTTGCAACTACATCTTAAAAATATGCGGTTGCAACCCCTCTTCAAAATATACGGTTGTGACGTCATTTTGAAAACATACAGTTATGACCCACCTTAAAAACATGTTGTTGCGGTCCCTCTTGAAAACATGGAGTTGTGTCCTCGTTTTGAAAACATACAGTTATGACCCACCTTAGAAACATGTGGTTAAGGTCCCTCTTGAAAACATGCAGTTGCTATCCATTTTTCAAACATGCAGTTGTGGTTTTTTTGAAAAACATGCATTTACGACCTTGTCTTAAAAACATGCAATTACGACTTCTTTCAAAAACATTTAGTTGTGATCATATTATAACGCTTGTAGTTGCATGTCTAATAGTGGACATGTAAATGGCCTCGGTAACTCCCCCTCCAGACCACAGTTGCGACCCTTTTTTTCCCAATCTCAACTTCATTATTGTATTGAGAGGGTGAATTTAAAAATTAAAAATTATAACAGATAAATTTTGTAAAACTAAAACCTAAGCAATCATTTTAAAATTTGTAAAATGAATATTAAGCTAAAGTGAAATAAATATACTAAAATTAAGAAAAAGAAAATAGTGTACAACACAACGGACGAGACTTGCCTGCGGCCGAGGTAACCAAGTATGTTCACCGATCGGACGGTCATTGACGTGAATGAGCCCATAGATAAAACTCAGCTAGCTGAGTTCTAGCAAATCCGAAAGGAAAATTGTGAGAACGTACGTTCCTTCCTTGTAGAAGAGAATACTCCAATCGGATACTCAATCTCAGCAATATGACGTCAGAATTCCACAGGAGGCCGGTTCAAAATAGCAGATCAGCCCACAATAGTATTTGGCATCAAATTCATTAGATGTATCAATTTGCACGACTTTTACAACCCAATCTACCAGAGAGCAACCGGAGATTTACAGATCTGACTACCATCCATCCCAAATTCACAGGTCAAATCAAGCAGTCCCCACGAACCATCACTTCGTTCCGGCGGGCGCGGGCGCCCCAACCGCCTTGCCCCGGAGCTTGACCTCGAGCGCGCGCTCCATCTTGGCGAGCACGGCCTGGACGGGGACGGCCTTGCCGCTCTCGTACTCCTGCACCACCTGCGCCCGCTCGCTGATGCGCTTGGCCAGCTCCGCCTGGCTCCACCCTTTGGCCACGCGCGCCTTCTGGATGGCCGCCCGCACGTCGCCGCCCACGCGCTCCAGCCCCGCCGGCTCCGTCATCTCGTCCAGCTTCCTCGCGGGCGCCGCCACGGCCGCGGCGGAGGCCTTCTTGTTCGTGCCCGCCGCCACCTTGCGCACCGTCTCCACCGGCGCGCCCGTCCGCAGCGCCTGGTTCACCGCCTTGGCGGACTTGAGGTCGGCCGCCTTGGGCTTCGCCCGCCGCAGGACCACCGGCTCCCAGTCCTGCGTGATGTTGCCGCTCATCCTACCAGTCGGCATCGCTCCTTCTGTTCTCTCTGCCTCTACCCTGTTTCCCCTCTTGATTTTATCTTCTCCTCGCCTTTCTCTTTCTCTGTTCTCGTGCCAATGAGTTGGGTGGGAAGGCATATATAGAGGCCGTGGACGGTGGAGGTGCACGATGACGGTTGGGGGGGCGGTTCGGGAAGGTTCATGAACGCGCTCGGGTGCTCGTGTGTTCTGGAAGATTCTGGGATTTTATCGGTTGCGTGTGGGCCGTTGATCGTAAGCAGTTCAGGGGAACGGATGGCGGTGGATGGGCCAAGAAAAACTTGGGTTCCACGGAAAGCCCCAGTAGAAGATACTTGGCGGTCACGCACTACTCATTCAAATTCTGTGACATTTTTCCTAGAAAAAAAATTCAAATTCAGTGCCCAGCACGAAATTGCAATTCGTTGATTTGTAGTCTTCTTTCTTCTTCTGAACAAAAGACAAATTTGAGGAAGTATTCTTTCCTTCCTCTGAACATTTTTTTAAGGGGATCCTTCCTCTGAACTGAACTATACTCATTGCCCAGACATAAAATGGTGATGTTTTAGATTATTATGGTTTTTAGGGGAAATGTCTATGCGCCGCCATCGCTAACGTCTGCATGTCCTTGCTAGTGAACTGGGGAGGGGAGGTTCGAGATGAGAGGGGGTGCCGAAAGAAAATGCCCCGCGTTCCTCTCAAAAAAGAAAATGCCTCACGTTCGCCTATTAGTATTTCATTTTGTGGTCCGCCTGATCTCTCGGTCCATTCAGTTTTTTCTATTATTACTTTTTTGCGAGAAGGTTTCTTCAGCGTAGAATTCGTGTGAATTTTAGAGAATTGTTTTCTGATTTTTTCCTTCTTTCTGTGGGGCTTGTTTGACTTGTATGAGTGACCGAAAAATCACCAAAATATAGTGAAATTTGAAATCTTGTTTAAATTGCCGTCTTAGCTTTCTCCTTTTCTTTCTGGAGGGCACCTGACAGATGCCCGACAATTAAGCACACATGTCAACTAAAAAAACTAAGCGCACATGTCAACTAAAAAAACTAAGTGCACATGTTAACTCAAAAAAAAAACTAAGTGCACACGTTATTAACTCAGAAAAAAAAACTAAGCACGCATGTTATTACTTAGTAATTGACACCAAAATCCACATACATAAACATGTAAATGATCTTTTGACCTGGTGATTTTTTTTTCTTCGATCTACTCATCAATCATCATGGCACACTAAATTGCCGTTGGATGTGAAATCTATACGACAGTCTTGACCAACTTGGATGCTGAATCTGCACGGTCCTGACCCACTTCATGATCTACGAATGGGCACTCGACTCTGGGTCTCTGCCATCGGTACTTCGCGTGTCAAGCACACATCATAAGCCAAGATCCGCGTTTTCTGAGATAAGCACGCCAGGAACAAATGTAATTCATTCGTACTTCTTATATTAGGATACCACCAGGAAAAAGTATTGTGGCAAGGGCTTGAACAAGCATAATCCTTTATTACGTTATCGAAAAAGGCTTTCGCCCGGCTTTATATATAAAGCAAACCGTTCAAATCAAACACCCAACAAGGTTTAAAACACACACACAAGTCTCACAAACACACATAGTAGCAAATAGGGTTAATGCTAAGGGCATAGCTCAACAAGCCCTGAAAACAAAACAACACACTCACACACAGCAATCCGAGCAGAATCCTGCATTACGTTCCAAATAGCCACCAAGAAGAGGTGTTCAAAAAAAAACCCACCACATAAATAATCTGATTTTTCTGATAAGACCAGCAATAGGCACCTATGAATCAAGTACGTTTCCTTCCTGCTTATCGGTGGTTTTGAGCTAGGAACACTGGTAGAAAAAGGGCCTGTTGTCCCGGTTCGTAAGGGCCTTTTGTCCCGGTTCCTGAACCGGGACTAAAGGGCCGGGTACTAATGCCCTGTCCCTTTAGTCCCGGTTCAATCCAGAACCGGGACAGATGGGCCTCCACGTGGCCTGTGCGCGGAGTCCAGGCAGGAGACCCTTTGGTCCCG